AATCGTTAGTGCTCACAATAGATCGAACGAGAAAGTCAATAGATACACATTGTATATGGACAAATGAACGATATTTGATCAAACCCATTTGTGATGTAAGAAATAGTGCAAACTTGATCGTTAATATAGTCATAGCAAATATAGATGTGATTGAAGAGGCGAGTAAATAAAGACCACAACCGATATTCCTTGTTGTTTTCATTCGAAAGGTAAGAAATGAGAGAAAATTACTGATAAAACCAAAAATAAATATTACTATAGTAAGAACAACGGCCAATTTTACAATGCCAGCCTGTCGATTAAATTGAATGTTAGGAGTAATGTAATAGCCTAAAATCATGTCTAATGATAGAGTCGATCCGTTAGTAGTAAATTGACATTTCGATCCGAAATAGCAATCACGACACGCGCAAGCCGATGATTTTGGACATTCGGAATCATCTCGAAAGCATTGACCTTGATTTTCACAGTAGTTGTATCCATAACAATCGTAAGTAGTGTTGTGATTGAACTCGAAACAATTGACCTGTTGATTAACACCGCACAAACAGAAATGAACATCATCATAAAAGCATACTAAATTTAATCTTTGTTTACATGGAATATGATAATATTTTATACGTTTTAATAAATGTTGTTTAGAACGAATCTCATCGAATAATTCATGAATAGATATACATTGATGGGATGGAATGATTTTTGTGGATATATTCGCTGAAATAATGCCTTTTTCTTGAAGAATAATTAGATAATAGTTACTGAATGATTCCGCAATTGCAATATGAAATTTAATTTCAGTATAGAACGATAATGAATTTTGATCAAATGGAATTTTTTTCATTAAACTCATTCGAATGTGTTCTTTTTCTTTTTGAACTGTAATAAAATGAATAATTATTGATGTTGGAATAGATAGCTCAGGATGAAACGAAAGATTGATTCGAGTCTGTCGATATTCACAATGATCTCCTGAATAAGACTTTGAACAAATGCATGTCGACTTGCTTAACTTGTTCGGTACATAACGTTGATCGCTAAATACACATTGACCTCCGTTGACACATGTTTGAGAATTACATGACGTTTGTAGAAGATGACATCGACGTCCAAATCGACCGGCAGGACATATGAAAATAGACGAACCAAAACATAGAGAACCGAACGCACAATCACATGTATATTTGATGTTACATTGAATACCTGACCAGCCCGAATCGCATTGACAAAATGTTGAACTATGATCATTGACATTGTTGAAGCATCGTCCGTGAATACATTCTGGCGTGCATTTCGACAGTGACTGAACGTCTACAAACGGAACTATGAGTAGAACAGATAGACGATAAACGGGCAAAAATGGAAATTGAATCAGATAAATCCAACTAGCCCTATATTTCAATGTGAATTTGTTGAATGCATGAATGCGTACGGCATAATTTTTTGACGCATTCTTTGGTCGAGTTGAGTAAAGTAAATAGATATTAAATTTCATTTTACAATCTCGAGCAGGAAAATATTCAATGTGATCATGTGATTCGATATTTTCTTCATGATCAACTAGCACTATTATGAAAATGAACAAACTAAGCCAGTCTGATGTAGATTGGATTTGAAGAGTGAGGCTAACACGTTCATTTTGATATTGACATGCATTTCCGTAGTAACTTGGCGGGCACAGGCAATGTAGTTTTTGTGTATCATTTCTTGACCGAATATAAATAGGCAGTCCACGATTACACCGCCATCGATCGATATGTTTGAGCTCGACTATCTGTTTGTTTTGAATCAACTGAGTTTTCATCTGAGTCGGTGATGAACCTGAGCTAATGTCTGTTGTGAAATGTAATGGAAAGGTCGGCATATTGCTGAGTTGAAAAGGCATTTTTGATGAACGTTTGAATCCACTGAAAAGAAAATTACAAAAAAACTTTTCAATACCTCCCCGAGTAATTGTATTCGGGCTTTGGCATGTTTGATAAGTTATTAGTGACTTGTAAGAACAGAAGTCTTCACCATCACCGTGCGGACAGTTTAAGAAACCGTTACACAAGATATTTGGAGGCACACATACCGTACGATTCAAACATTGCCAAGAATAGACA